CTCGCGGTGCCCGGGTGGGCGGGAGAGCCTGCCTACCTCAGGCAGCTGCGGGATCTGGATGAGCCGCTTGAAGTACTGCAGGTTGCTGGAGCGGTAGAACAGATCTTTCAACCTGGCGGGGAGGGGGGGCCTGAAGGGGGCTGGGTGCCGTGGCCAGTCCCCCCATGGGAGGTGGGGGTGGACTGCAGCCACCCAGGTCCCAGGGATGGGCACCCTGTCACTGAGATTCAATTGTGATGCCACCGGGAGGGGTGACTGACAGCCAGTCCTTGCAGGAGAGAGGCACTCATCCCGCCTGTTGTCCCGGGCGGAGAGCAGGCCACCCGCACACGAACCCCGGTGTCAGTGGCGGTCCATGGAGGAGGCCCCAAGGGCGTTAGAAGTCCTCCTCTGGAACGGCACCACCCATGGGAAGGCTGCAGGTGTAGTCTACCCGGGATCACCTCGGAAGAAAGGCCAGGGGCTCTCCTTCTGGGGAAGTCTCCCTTCAAACAAAGCCCCCAAAGCCAACCACGGTCACTGCCATGGAGCTGATGCTGGCCCTATGGGACAGGACGGGACTGCCCGTGTGTTTCTGAGGCAGGGCTGTGGGGGGGACGTCTCAGAGAACGGATCGCTTCCCCAGCCAATTGGTCCTACCAACTTTCCCTCTCCAGAGTCTTAAAGCTGGACCCTTCCCCCTTCACGGAGCAAACCTGGCCTGGGTCTGGTAAGACACTTAAAAAAAAAAAAATCACTTTTATTGGGGGCTCTTATAGCTCTTTTAACAACAATCCATACATCGATTGTGTCTGGCATATTTGTACATAGGTTGCCATCGTCATTTCCAAAACATTTTCTATTGGAGCCCTTGGCATCAGCTCCTCTTTTCTCCCCTCCCTCCCACCCTTGTGAATCCTTGACCGATTGTACAGTGTTGTTATGATTTCCTATCTTACACCATCCGTTGTCTCCCTTCACCCACTTGTCATCTGTCCCCTTCGGGGGCGGGGGTGGGGAGCTCTGGGTTCACCAGGTGGGTGACACACTCCGAGGGAGCCCTGGTGGTGGGGTGGGCCGCGTGTCGGGCTGCTCCCTGAGAGGCCAGCAGGGTGAAGGCACGAGCCACCCCGCTGGAGGAAGCCCAGAGGGACAGTGCTGCCCTGTCCTATAGGGTCCCTGTGAGTCAGAAGGTTCTGGTTGGCAGTGAGTCGGGGGCGCTCTGAGCACCCGTGGGTTCGCCTTTCCCGTGGACACCGTGGACACCACAGCCACTCACTTTGTGAACTGCTCCGTGAAGCGGTCCCGGTGGCCTTGCAGGGTGTCGGCTGGGAGACCTGGAAGAATGGGGCGTGTGAGAGCAGGGAAGGGGCCAGCCAGCCAATGGCAGGCAGGAGCCCACCTCTCTGGGGAGTCAGTCGGTCCACGCAGGGCATGTGGTCAGCCCTAGTGAGCAGCAGGCCGAGGACAGGGGGCTGATCTTCCTAGTCTTCCCACTGCTTGGGGGCCCGGGCATCGGATGCCTGACCATCGTGCAAGGCTTATGTAAGAGGATGGGACACAGCAGGCCTGGAGCGGCCCTCGTTCTAGGGAGAAACCAGGGGTGTCGCTTATCTGGAGGAGACCCGGGCAGAGCCTGGAGGGATCTCGGTTCTGGTTTCGGCTCGAGGGCCCAGGATGAGCACAGGCCTGGCCCCGATGCAGTAGGCTCACTGCGGTCCTTCCAGACAGCGTGACTCTGGGTTTCAGCCTCAACCTCACAACCCTTTTCTCTCCGGTGTAGTTCCCGGCTTCCTCTGTTTACATTTCAATTGCTTTCAAGGTCTCCCGCCTTCAGTGAAGGAGCCCTGGCGGCACAGCGGTTACACGCCGGGCTGCTGAGGCCAAGTTCAGCAGTTTGAGACCACCAGCCGTCCCTCG